CCCCAAAACCCCAAAACCCCAAAACCCCATGGCTTGATTATCAATTCAATTTATGTTATTAATCTAAATAGATATTTATAACTATTTTAAATACATAAACTATCGCCTTATATATACTATAATAATTGAAAAGTTCATCATGACGTGTAGAAATCTTACGTACACAATCCTACTAGTAGCTATTTTAGCCTTCTCATGCCTTGGCCAGGAAACTAATACTGCTTAAACAGACAATACCACCGTAGTCTCAAACAGCACCTCATCTTCAAATGATACAGCAGTCAACTCCTACTGGGAAGATTTCTAAATAGGAGCATCTCAGAGCTTCATCATCATATTTTTGGCTGAACTAGGAGATCGTACATTCATTATGGTAACATTGCTGTCATCGCAACTAAACAAGTTCTCATTGTTTTTGGCAGCCTCAATGGTAATGACTATTATGCATACCATTTCAACCCTGATTGGAGCATTTTTTGCTTATCTCATACCAAAGATAGTTGTCTCATATCTTGTAATTGCGCTCTTCTTAGGATTTGGATTTATGATGTTATACAAGGGCTGTAAACCTAAATCAGAAGCTGATGAGGAAGAGGACGAAAAGGCAGAAATTATAGAGTAGTTAGAAAAAATGAACATCCTTAAAGACAAGTAAGAACCATTACTAGAGGGATAAAAGAAGATTCATGACTAAGAAAAGCAACCAGCAAAGAAAGAGTAAAGCTTGGCTTGGTATCAGAGATCTACATGGGGATTCCTTATCTTTTCACTTATGTGCCAAGAGTGGGGAGATGTCTCTTAAGTAGCAGCTATTGGACTTGCTGCCAAGTATGGTACTCTAGGTATTATACTCGGAGGGTCAGTTGCACACATTCTCTGCATTTTAGTTGCTCTCCTTCTTGGAGTTGTCGTCGAAAAGTTCTGTAACGAAAGATGGCTTAGTATTTTCTCAGGTATGTTATTCCTGTCATTTGCTACTATGGAAATCATCAAAGTGGCTACTGGAAGTGTCTGAGATCATTAATACATTCTAAAGTAGAATGAATATATTTTGTGTTAAAATTCGGGAATTTTCAAATGAATCAACTTCTTTACATTTGTCATTTTGACATTGATGGGGTTTTGGGGTTTTGGGGTTTTGGGG